CTTTCTGGCAATTATTTATTAATAATCTTTTGAACAAATCCTGTATCCAAACTGTAACATCAATCCACACCAAAATCTAATCAATTGTTCTGTTGGCCATACCCTGCTTGTCCAAAACATTTTGTGAAACTCCATTCTCTACCTTTTGAGCTATGCTGTTAAACAAATCCACAAACCAGCAAATGTGGACAAAAACATTAATCCTGCCCTTAGTGGAGGTAATAACAGGATTTGTGTGAAAAGTTACATTATTATCACCTAAATAGTAAATGAATAATTAGATATTAGATATTTTCAGTAAGGTTACACACTGGTTTGACCAGTGTGTAATCTAATTACTGTGACTAGAGAGCCATGGGTACAGTGGGCTCATATCTCATCTGTAGATGTCTGTGATGGAAACTGGGACTGGGGTCAGCTATGGAATTATCAAATGTTTAACACAGTTTTGATACTATAACATGTACAACCTTTACTGGAAAAAATAGGCATCCATGAATATCTGATTTGATGAAAAATATAACTTTTAAAAGGCTCCACTGAACGGTGTATCTACTGTAATAGAGTGAAAAAATTAATTTTGTGATGACACCCGAGAGACGTGGCCTGGAAATACATTTTTGATGTGTATGTAGCAGATTATTTAACCACATATTTCATTGCAAACTAAACATAACTAAAGGTGTGTTTTGACATCTTCACTTTTACTTGAGCAAGACTGTCTGGTTACTTTGATGGCAACTCAAAGAAATTGGGCAAGACAGTTTTTACTAGATACTTTTAATTCATGTTATTTGAATAACTACCGTTACTTCTACTTTAGTATTTGTTTTTACAAAGTAACAGAACTCTTAGCAATGACTCTTCTGACCTTTGGTCTTCTTGTGGAAAGGTCAAGAATAAAGGCAGCAATCACCAGAACACATTATTATATTCCATAGATGCATTATGTACACACTCACACACAATATGTAATACAGTGTATAACAACAGTTTCTCACACAAGCCTCTAGCATCTATACAGCAGCTCTGGTTGTCATCCTCTTGTTTGTTAGCTGCTGCAGTTGTAGTAAGCAGAAGTCCACCTGATTAACAGTCAAGGCAGAGCTGCTTATTTTCACACTTCTGTTTGATTCATGATCTCCAGGCAGCGAGTCAGTGCAGGGTCACAAAGTCTTTTCATGAGTTATGAGAGTATTTAGTGGGTACTAGAGAGCCATTAGTGCTGGCTAATCACCACAGGTGTGTGCATGAATCTGCTCTGTGGGTGAGGTTAATTGCAAGCAGGAAGGCCTTGGATTTCAGTAGGGGTCCCAAGGAATGGAGGGGAGGTGAGGAAGCGGTAGACAGGGGTCAAAGGTCAGAGACCTTCTTAGGGAAACTTCTACTATAACTCATTTTCAGAATCTGGGTCAGCAGACACACAAACACACATAAAAAGTATGGTATGTGTATAGCTTATTATTTATATAGTTTATTATTTGAAAAACTGTATAAACATAAAAAGAGATATAATGCAATACATAAACATAAATCAATACAAAAAACATTTTATAAATGCCATTTGAAATAGCATTTGTGAACAGTTTCAATTGGAACTACTTTATAGTAAAATTACAGCCCCTTTTTTAAAAAAGTGTATAAAAGGATTTAGCATAAAGGCTGATATAAAAAGGTATTTTACTGGACTAGCAAATCATTGCCAAATAACGGGCTGATGTTGGAAAGATACCAGCAGTGAACAGTGTATTTTTGCAGCAGGAAAACTGCTTTAAAACAATCAATGCCTATTTTTTTTAAAACTGAATTTTTTGTTAAAATTGGTAAAAGTTTTTCTTCTTTTCATGACCCCTGAATTGAGACCACCAAACAAATCATATGTTCTTTTCTCCACTTCTCCAGTCAGTCTCAGTTTTACAGTCAATGAAATTGCGATTCTTCTTTAACATTGCTTTCATTGATAATATGAGGTTCAGACAGCCTTTTTCCTATGGAAATGATTGATTAAGGGCAGCTATTAAATCTGACAAAAATATGCACTTTTCTCTCTTCATGCATACACACAGTTTTAGACATGAATGTACACAGTTTTATGCATCTAGCCCAAGGTCTTTGCACTAACTAATGCTGCAGCATATCTGCACTGCTTTTCCAGGTTGTTTCCTTCATGTAAACAATCAAGGCACTGAAACAAATGACATGCTATGCCTCACAATTCAGTGAACATGATGTATACCAGAAAATGTTCATTGTTGTGCAACAAAAGCAGCTGAAAGCAGCTTCAGAGTGTGTGCAGCTGAACCAGTGCTAAATATAAAAAAAGTTCAGCCAAAGAAGAATCAGAAGGCAACTTCTAAAATATTCACTTGACCTGCTTTGTTTGCTCTTGTTCTCCCTGTGGTATGTTACATCTACTTTGTTTGCTTTCTTTACCACCTCTTTCTTCTCTCTTGGCCTGCTTTTGAGCTTTTGGTTAATACAGAGACCTCAAACCTAATCACATCTGGCATCCTCCTCTGATATTCTATAGTGTCTTGTTTTGCCTGAAGAATGTCCCATTTATAACATAAAATGAGGTACACCCTTTGAAATGCATTTTTTTCCTTCTCCCTTTCAGATTGTACTCACATGTTAACTGATATTTCAGATCTTTGATATACAGTATATACAGCAAAGCCTGCTGTACAGTGGCTGATTTCTGAGTGTTATGTGGACATGTAGTCTGCATTAAAGGGGGAATCCAGTGACTTTACACATCCAGATTACTTAGCTATTGCTGCTTTCATGTAATATCATAGTTACAGGTTCCCAACTAAATAATGATTATGTCAAGTTCTAAGTTGTAATTAGGACTACGAAACTCTTGTAGGGGTTGGCAAACATATGACATTAAACTACAACTTTCTGCTCAGAATGCACTTTAATGGTCCTTGTGATCCACCAAAGGAATGTAGGAATTTGTGATGCTGGGGAATTATGAAAAATACTGTACATCACTCAAATATGGAATTAGTCATCCAGCCGAATAACTATTTTTGAGAATACGTATGTAACGTAATCAGCAGTAACCCTTCTAGTTGGCCACACAGGAGAGGTCAGTTGGGATTGTTAAAAATAACCTTAGTTGTTGTTTACCGCATCATTTCATAATTCAGGTAAAATCTATTTAGAAATATCTATCGTGTGAATAAAACAAAGTACCCTCATGCAGTAAACTTGAGACTTTGGAGCCCCTTGGAGTGCAGGGATAGTGGGCACTTACCCACTTTGCTTGGTTGGTAATCCAGCCTTGACAATATAAAGCACTGGAATGTCCCTCTAAATACAACCCTTTTCAGACTATGGCAAGACGGCGCCCACCGAGGCAGACGTCTTTGTGCGTTCCACTATCGAATGCTGGCTTTTTCTTCGTTTTCTTCTTTTTTGTGTGTTTTTTACTCTTTCTGCAGTGCATAAATGCCATGCACTGCTAACATACAAGAGAGAGGCATTGCTGGATATCACTAACTCACACAGCCCCTGGGAATTTTTCTGGTTTCATACCAGCAGAGCTACAACTCATTGTCCACTCCCGCAACAACAACAACAACAACAACAACTATCATCACCCTCAGTAGTGTTGCTTTCGTCAACGAAAATTATGACTAAATATCATCGTCAATGAACCTTTATCGCGTGATGAAAACGAAACAAGACGCAATGAAAATTCTGGTTGTGTGACGATGACTGTAAATAAATGTATAATGCAATATTGTTGAAAAAAAAAATGAGACTAAATGTGGTTCACAAAATAAAAGCTATGCCAAAATGTCTCTTCATTTTCGCTGACCAAAACGAGACGAAACGAAATGTTATAACGTTATTTCGTCTCATTCAGTCGCATTATTATTATAATTTTGCTGTATTTCTGTTTCCTGTGTCACGCTTCAGGGGCCGCATCAGGTCGCACTGCGCAGACGCAGGTGACGTCACTTCCTTAGGCCCCACTCACGGCATTATTTAGAAGACGACAACAAACAAAGAAGTAAATTCTGACACAGAGAAAGGGACGGATGGCCAGCCAGCCGGGGTTCGTCATTGGGAGAAAAAGAAGAAACGACATTTGGAAAATCTTTAATTACATAGAAGTGGAAAAGACAACGGAATTTGTTGTGGAAAAAGATGGGGAGAAATGTGGTCACAAAATCACACAAAATGTGTATTGGATGTACTCATGAGTCTTTAAGGTAACAATGATATAATAAGATAACCTTGTTTGAAATGGGTTTGGCAAAAAAAAAATTTTGGTTTCATCTATACTACTAGGTACTTATACTATATTGACTGGGTTAAATAGAATTGCATTACTAAAGAGACACTAAAATACAATTTTCATTGACTAAAACTAGACTAAAATGTCATCAGTTGAC